GGAACCTGTACCTGGCCCGGGAGGGCGGTGAGTCCGTGCCCCCTGACCCCACAGTGTCCCTGTTCTCTGGGGACCCCCGTTTGTCCCCCGATCCCCCAAGCCCTCACTCCCTCTGCCCCCAGCACTTCTCAAACCCTTCCCAAAGCCCCCCAACTCCCCCTCTCTTTTCCCCACCGCATTTCTCTGATCCTCCCAACCCCCATTCCCTGCCCCAAACATCTGCCTGGCCTCTCCCATTATCCCCTGCCCCCCAAAATTCCCAAAATTATCCCTTTCTCCATTCCCACCCATCCGCCTGGCTTCCCCCATTCCCCTGAGCCCCCCAAATTCCCCCCAAATCCCCTGACCCCAAATTCCCATCCCAGGCTCCCCCATTGCCCCGAGCCCCCCAAATCCCCCGAGCCCCCCAAAGCCCCCCAATCCCTGACCCCAAATCCCCATTCCAGCCATCCACCCAGGCTCCCCCATTCCCCCGAGCCCCCCAAGTCACCTGAGCCCCCCAAAGCCCCCCAATCCTGACCCCAGGTTCCCTCCCCAGCCATCCGGCCGGGCTCCCGCGCTGCCGAGGGCGTCAGCGACTCGGACATGGCCAAGCGAGCGCGGGTGAGCGGGGCGGGGGGATTTGGGGGTGTGGGGGTTTGGGGGTTTGGGGGTCTGGGGCTTTGGGGGTTTGGGGTTTGGGGGTCTGGGGGTGCCCCCGCTGACCCCGCTGTCCCCAGTTCGAGGAGCAGAAGCGGCGGCGGCTGCAGGACCCCAACGTGGCCGTGTCGCGGACGCGGCTGTGCCTGCACAACCTGCCCAAGGCGCTGGACTCGGCGCGGCTGCGGGCGCTGCTGCGGGGGCTGCTGCGGGGCCCGGCCTGCACCGCGCCCCGCATCAAGGAGGTGGGGCTGGGGTCCCCCCAGTGCTCCTGTGTCCCCCCGAGTGCCACCTGTGTCACCTTGTGTCCCCCTGAGTGCCCCTTGTGTCCCCCTGAGTGCCCCCGTGTCCCCTTGTGTCCCCCTGAGTGCTCCTGTGTCCCCTTGTGTCCCCCTGTGCCCCCCCGTGTCCCTGTGTCCTCCCCTCTCGAGTCTGGAGACAATTTGGGGCTGCACTTGGGGTCCCTCCAGGAGGGATTTGGGGTCCCCGCGGTGTCCCCTGGGGGATGTTGGGGTGCTCCAGGGGGGCTTTGGGGACCCCATCGGGTGCCAGTGCTGGGGGGTGCAGGCGGAGGGGATGTTTGGGGTGACCCCGGGGAGCTGGGGGTGTTTGGGGGGATCCCTCCCCTCCGCAGAGCTGGGTGAGGCAGGAGCTGCCCTGGGTGGGGTTGGGGTTTGGGGTGAGCCGGGGGGTGGTTTTGGGGTGCCCTGGGTGGGTTTGGGGTGCCCTGGGTGGGTTTGGGGTGAGCCAGGGGTTGTTTCTGGGGTGACCCTGTCCCTCCCCAGTGCCGGGTGATGCGGGGGCTCTGGGGGGGTTTGGGGTGCCCTGGGTGGGTTTGGGGTGAGCCAGGGGCTGGTTTTGGGGTGCCCTGGGTGGGTTTGGGGTGATCCAGGGGCTGTTTTTGGGGTGACCCCATGCCTCCCCAGTGCCGGGTGATGTGGGGGCTCTGGGGGGGTTTGGGGTGCTCTGGGTGGGTTTGGGGTGATCCAGGGGCTGGTTTTGGAGTGCCCTGGGTGGGTTTGGGGTTTGGGGTGCCCTGGGTGGGTTTGGGGTGAGCCAGGGGCTGTTTTTGGGGTGCCCTGGGTGGGTTTGGGGTGAGCCAGGGGGTGTTTCTGGGGTGCCCTGGGTGGGTTTGGGGTTTGGGGTGCCCTGTGTGGGTTTGGGGTGAGCCAGGGGCTGTTTTGGGGTGACCCCGTGCCTCCCCAGTGCCGGGTGATGCGGGAGCAGCGGGGCCAGGGCCAATCTTTGGGGTTCGCCTTCGTGGAGTTCGAGGAGCACGAGGAGGCCCTGGGGGCCCTGCGGCGCCTCAACAACAACCCCGACCTCTTCGGGGCCCACAAGGTCAGTGGGGGCACCCCAAACCCAGGGGACCCCGTTTCCAGACCCCGGAGCTGCCCCCGGCATTCCGGGGTCCCCCTGGGATTTGCTGGGATCCACCCCGGTGTTTTTGGGGGGATTCTGGGAGTTCTCCTGGGTAGTTTGGGGTTCCCCTGGGTGTTCTGGGGTGCCCCCCGGTTTTTGGGGTGTTCTGGGTTATCCCCCAGTGTTTCATAGGGAGGTTTCTGGGGTCCTGGCTGGATTTTGGGATGCCCTCATTGTGTTGGGGTCTCAGTGGGGTTTTGAGGGCGCCTCCTGGTTTTGGGGCATTTTGGGGTGCCCCTGGTGTTGGGAGTATCTGGGATATTTAGGGGCTGTTCCCCCTGGTGTTTGGGGCTCCTGGGGGGTGTTCCTCCATGGGTTTTGGGGTATCTGTGGGGCGTTCCCCCCGTTTTTGGGGGTGTTTTGGTGCCCACTGTGCCCCCCCAGCGCCCCATCGTGGAGTTTGCTCTGGAGGACCGGCGGAAGCTGCGGCTGCGGGAGCAGCGGATCCAGCGGGGGCTGGTAGGGAGCCCTGAGCCTGAGCTTTGGGGTCCCCAGCAGTGACCCCTCCTGTGACCCCAGTGCTGACCCCTGCTCTAAGGCCATTGCTGAGTGCTGCCCTGACCCCAGTACTGACCCCTGACCCCACTGCTGAGCCCTGCCCTGACCTGAGCACTGACCCCTCCCGTGACCCCAGTGCTGACCCCTGCCCTGACCCCAGCGGTGACCCCTGCCTTGATCCCACTGCTGACCCCTGCCCTGACCCCAGCGCTGACCCCTGCCCTGACCCCAGCACTGACCCCTCCTGTGACCCCACTGCTGACCCCTGACCCCACTGCTGACCCCACTGCTGCCCCCTTTCCCCACAGCTCAAGGCCAAGGCCAAGGCGGCCGCAGGACCCCCAAAGCCGGCCCAGGGAGCCCCGGACCCCCCCCAGGGGCAGCGGGACCCCCCCGCGGGCTCGGGGGACCCCCCGGCCGCCCCCCGGCCCCGCCCGGGGCCGCCCCCCGGGACCCCCTGGGCCGGGTTCCGCACGCAGGGCCCGGGGTCCCGGGGGGCTCCCGGCGCCCCCCGCACCAAGGTGCTGGCGCTGCCCTCCCACCGCGGCCCCAAGATCAGGTCAGGGGGCTGTGCCCGCCTTCCCCATCCCATCCCGCTGTCCCCTGCCAGCCCCACTCTGCCCCCCGCTTCCCTGTGCTCCCTTTATTTATTCCCCGTTTGTCCCCTTTCCTGCCCTTCCCTTCTTTCCTTCCCCCTTCCCCCCTTTCCCTGCCTCCCATTCCCCCATTTCCCCCCCTTTTCCTTCCCCTTTCCCCCCTTTGCTCTCTTTCCCCTTTTCCTTCTCCTTTCCTTCCCTTTTTCCCCTTTTCCCACCCCGTTCCTTCCCTTTTCCCTCTCTTTCCTCCCCTCTTTCCCCCGGACCTTTTTCCTTCCCCTCCCCATTTCCCTTCCCCCTCCCGGGGGTCTCTGCCCCTCGGGGCACCCCGGGGTCCCCCCCAGTTCCCCAATTCCCTTTTCCCACAGGAAACGGGACAAGGGGAAGGCTCAGCCGCCCCCCAAGCCCCCCAAAGCCCCCAAGGCGTCTCGGCGGCGGGAGAAGCCGCGGGCGCCCCCAGCCCAGGTAGGAGTTTGGGGTTCTCCCCGCGGGAATGGGGCCCCCCGCTGCCCCCAGAGCCGCCCCCCAGCCCGGGGCTCGGGGTCCCCTCACCCCTGTGTCCCCACCCCCCAGAGCCGCCCCCCAGCCCGGGGCTCGGGGTCCCCTCACCCCTGTGTCCCCCAGGCCCAGCGGCGGCGCGGGGGCGGCCCCGGGGCGGCCGAGGCGCGGTTCCAGGAGCTGGTGGAGAGGTACAAGAGGAAGATTTTGGGGAGCAACCCCCCCACGGCCCGGGGGGGCAAGTGGTTCGAGAGCTGAGGTTCCCCCAGCGCCCCAAAACCCCCCTGGCACCCCAAAAACCCCCGGGGGTGCCGCGGGTCCCAAACCCCACGGGGGGGGTTTGGGGTTTCTGCTGCCCCCGTGCGCTCTGGGGGGGGGTTGGGGGGCACCCAGCCCTGGGTCCCCCCTGTTTCCCCCCAGGATTTGGGGGTGCTCCCCCCCATGCCTCTGTGTCTTCCTGGGTTTTAATAAAAATGGGATTTTTGAGGAAAATTTGGCCTCTCTGTGCCATCCCCTACCTCGGGGACCCCAAAACATCTCCCGTGGGGGCCATAGGGAGGTGTGGTGGAGACACCCGTGGGGGGGATTGGGGGGTCCTGTGAGTTTCGGGTGGGTCCCCCCCGTGTCCCCCCCAACCTCGAGCCTCGGGTGGCCTCGGGCGTGACCCGGGGGTGCCGCTGCCCCACGGCCACCCAGGGCCACCCAGGGCCACCCTGTCCCGGGGTGTCCCCACCGTGGAGCTGGGGGGGGACCCGGGGGGGCCATGGCAGCGCTGCAAGGGACAGAGTGACACTGTCAGTGACACCCGTGTGTGCCCCATCCCTGTCCCACTTGTCCCCTGCTCCTGGTGTCCCCTGGGCTGGGGGTCGGGGTCACACCAGGCCGGGGGATGGCAAAGCCACCAGCGAGACATCAGCTGCCACTGAGTCACCGGGGCCGTGTCCCCACCTCACCGGGCCCGGGGGAGATCCCAGGGCCCCGCCGGCCCTTGTCCCCGGCTGCCCCCGTGTCCCGGGGGTCCCTTGGCCCCGGCTGCCCCCGTGACACTGCGGATCCCGTTTTCAAGGGAGTCCCTTGTCCCCGTGTGGCCGCTGTCCCAAAGGTCCCTTGTCCCCAGGGGTGTCCCTTGTCCCCAGGGGTGTCCCTTGTCCCCAGGGGTGTCCTTTGTCCCAGAGGTGTCCCTTGTCCCCAGGGGTGTCCCATGTCCCCGGGGTGTCCCTTGTCCCCAGGGGTGTCCCTTGTCCCCAGGGGTGTCCCTTGTCCCCAGGGGTGTCCCATGTTCCCAGAGTCATCAGAGACACGAGTGAGGCTGCTGGAAAAGGGGCTTTAAATAAAATAAATAAATAATAATAGTAACAGTAGCAGTAATAATAATAATAATAATAATAATAATAATAATAATAATAATAATAATAATGATAGTAATAAACAGTAACAGCAATGTAGAAAAAGGTGCCAGCAGCAGCTGGAGTCACCCCGGTGCCCGGGGCCGCTCGTGTGTCCCCGCTGAGGTCCTGGTCCTGTCTGTGGGTCCTGACGAGACCCCGCGGGGGTCCCGGGCTGTCCCTGTGGGCCCGGGGGTCCCGGGGGTCCCTAACACGCGGGGACCCCCTCGAGGCAGGCGGCGACCCCGTCCAGGCAGCGGCGGAGCCGCGCCAGGGCCACCCCGGCCACGGTGTGCGGAGCCTCGGCCAGCGGGGCGGGGGGCGGCGGGCGGGGGTCGCGGGGCGGGGGGCAGCCCAGCAGGGTCCCCAGCAGGGCCAGCAGGCTGCGCAGGTTCTCCAGGTCGTTGGCCACCTGGGCCAGGCGCGGGTCGGGCCCGGGCAGGGCCCCCAGGAGCCGCTGGAAGAGCTGCAGCCGCTGGGCGGCCCAGCCCAGCCCCGGCGGGACCCCCCCCTCCGGGACCCCCTCCGGGACCCCCTCCAGCCCGCTGAGGCGCAGGGTCAGCGGGAACAGCTGGGGGGCACAGGGCGGGGTCAGCCGGAGACCCCAGTTTGGGCACAGAGCCCCTCAGCATGGCTGTCCCTCCTTGGGGACCCCCAACCCTCGGGGTGCTCCCAGAGTCCATCCCTGGGGGCACAGACCCCCAGAGCCCATCCCTGGGGGTGCAGACCCCTCCAGACCCCATCCCTGGGGGTGCAGACTCCTCCAGACCCCATCCCTGGGGGTGCAGACCCCTCCAGACCCCATCCCTGGGGGTGCAGACCCCTCCAGAGCCCATCCCTGGGGGTGCAGACTCCTCCAGACCCCATCCCTGGGGGTGCAGACCGCCAGAGCCCATCCCTGGGGGCGCAGACCCCCCCAGAGCCCATCCCTGGGGGCGCAGACCCCCAAACCCCTCCAGACCCCATCCCTGGGGGTGCAGACCCCTCCAGAGCCCATCCCTGGGGGTTCAGGCCCCCAAACCCCGCCAGACCCAATCCCTGGGGGTGCAGACCCCCAGACGCCCCTCCCTGGGGACCCCCCAAATCTGGGCACGGGATCCCCCCCATGGGAGACCCCCCCGGGGACCCCACCCCACTTTGGAGAACAGGATCCCCCCGTACTGAGGAGCAGCCCCCGAGTCTGGGGAACGTCCCCCCGGTCTGGGGGTCCCTCCGGGGGTGTCCCGGCTGTGTCCCAGCCCCCCTCCCCGGTGTCCCCGCGGTCCCCGGGCCGGGGTCACCTGGAGCTGCTGCAGGCGCGTGCTGAGGGTCCGGGTCAGGGCCCGCGCGTCCGCTCGGAGCCCCTCGAGCCGCACGGGGCGACCCCCGCCCGCCGCCGCCCCCAGGCACAGCAGCCCCCACAGCGACACGCCGGGACACCGCATCCCGCCGCTCTGGGGACGGGGACGCGGCGGTCACCGGCGGCTCCGCGCCCCCGGGAGGGGACACGCGTGTCACCGCCACCCCCGGCAGGCTGCGGGATGGCCGGTGTCACCAGGGACGGGGCAGGGGACGTGCGGGAAGCGGCGCCGGCGGCACACGGGCTCCGGAGCTCTCGTCACCGTGTCGCGGTGCCACCGTGTCCCCGCCGGGAGCCCTTTGGCGCCCGCCACTCGCGACACGGCCGTGACCACGGGGGTGGGCCTTGGGGCCCCAGCGTTGTGTCACCTCCCTGGGGACCCCCTGCCCCCGGTGGTGAGGGAGGGACACTGGGGTCACCTTGTCACCCACAGCTTGGGGACAGGGGGACGTGGGTGACACAGGAACGGGGGGACACGCAGGAGGACGGGACACGGAGGACACGGGTGACACAAATGGGACACGCAGGTGGACGGGACACGGAGGACGCAGTGACACAGGAACGGGGGGACATGGGAGCGGGGGGGACACAGGGATGCGGGAACATCGGGGTGTGGCGGTGGCACGGGGGAAAGCGAGGGGACAGGGTGACAGTGCCACTCACCGGAGCCTCGCACGCACTCGCTGCGCCTGGAACGAGACGGGGCCGCTGATGGAGGGACACGGCGACCCCCCAGTGCCACCACCCCACCGGCCGGGCCGGAGAGGGCCCGTGGTCCCTTGGGTCACCCCCGGTGTCCCCGCGGGGCCGAGGGACACGGCCGGTGGCGCTGCCACCACCTCGGGGACAGCAGGGGCCGGGGGGGCACAAGGACAGGGACAAGGAGGTGCCCAGATCCCCCGGGGGCTTCGGTCCCAGCCAGGCCCAGGACAGCGTCTCCACAGCTCTTCTGGGGGTGGGGGACACTGGGGTCCCCCCGCGGCTGCACCCGCAGTGACCCCGGGGTGAGGGGACCGGGGGATGTCCCGGGAGGGGGTCCCGGGGAGGGGGTTGGGCATGTCCCTGAGCAGGGTGTCCCTGAGCAGGGTGTCCCTCTGGGGGGGCTGGGGTGTCCCTCCGGGGGTTGGGGGTCCCGGTCCGAGGGGTCTGGGGGGTCGGGCTCACCTGGTGGTCCCGCGGGTCCCGTCGGTGGCGGCGGTGGCTCCATCGCGCCGCTCCCGTTTATAGCGCGGGGCCGCTCCCGCCCCGCCGCCCCCCCGCGTGTCCGGGCCGCGTCCGGCCGGGGGGGCCCGGGGGGGACCGGGGGGGCCCGGGGGGACCGGGGGGGCCGGGATGTCCTGGGGGGGCGGGATGCCCCGGGCCGGGGGGGGACCGGGATGTCCCGGGCCGGGCTGGGGGGACCGGGATGTCCCGGGCCGGGCCGGGGGTCCCGGGGCGAGCTGGGGACACCGGGACGGCCCGGGGGGGTCCCGGGGACACGCGAGCACTGGGGGGGGCCCGGGGGGGTCCCGGCCCCCCACTCCCCCCGCGGTCCCGACCCCCCGCGCATACGTGCCCAGGTGAGCGCAGCCCCGCGCGTGGCGGTGACACGTCCCCCGCGCGCCGTGACCGCGCACACGCGCCCGTGTCCCCTCCGTGCCCCCCCCGTGTCCCCGTAACCCCCCTCTGTATCCCCCTTTGTCCCCCCCGTGTCCGCGCCCACGCTCCCGTGTCCCCCCGCCGTGTCCCTCATGTCCCCCCACGCGTGTCCTGCCAGTCTCCCCCGCGTCCCTCATGTCCCCTCCTCGTCCCCCCGCGTCCCCCCGTCCCCGCTCGTGGCACTCACACACCTGGCGCAGGATGGGGACAGAGCAGGGACAGCAGCGATGTCCCCGGGGTGTCCCCGGGAGTCCCCAGACCCGTGTCCCCCCCACCCGGGACACCGCCGGGGTGACACGGGGGGAGGGGGCTCTCTCGGGGGCACTGGTGTCCCCGCCACCCGTCCCTGTCACCCCCCGGCCCGGGGTGTCCCCAAACTGCGTCCCCGTGGGGTCCCCGGCGGGGCCGTCCCCGCGCTGGTGACGCCGGAGCTGGTGCCACCACGGTGGTGACACTCGGCCAACACTGCGGTGGCCCTTCCGGGAAGGCGGGCGGTGACACGGGTGACACCAGTGCCCGGCAGCCGCTGGGGACACGCGGAGCGCCCCGCGGCCGGCGCGGTGACCTGGCTGACGTCACGCGTGTCCCCTCCCTCCAGCGGGCACCCCGCGTGTCCCGGGCCCCGTCCTCTCTGCCAGCACCCCTCGTGTCCCCATCCCTGTCCCCACTGTCACTCGTGTCCCCATCCCTGTCCCCATCCCCAGGGCCGAGCGCCAGCAGGGCTGTCACGGCCACCGGGCGCCCTTCGGCCCCTCCCGCGGCACTGGGCAGCGATGGGCACCCAAACTGGGAGCACTGGGGACCTGTTGTGGCCCCCCGGCACCCCCAGTGTCACCTCTCCCCAACGCCGGGGTGTCCCCAGTGTCACCCCCCGGAGGTCCCCGAGCGTGCCAGGAGCAGTGGTGGCCTCGTGGCCCCATTTCTGCTGTCCCCCCTGTCCCCGCTGTCCCCCCTGCACCGCTGTCCCCTGGCTGTCCCCGCTGTCCCCTGGTGTCCCCAAAGCCCCCCACTCACCTGGGGTCCCCGCGGCCCCGCTGGCTCGCCGCCCCGCGGATGCTTTTTGGGGTAAGGGCTTCCTGGCTGGGGAGGGACAGCAAGCCCAGACCGCAAAAAGACCCGAGAGGGACAGGGACGGTGGCCCCGCGGTGGCCCCGCGGTGACAGGGAGCGGGTGACAAGGAGGGACGATGACGGGGACACGCGGAGCCCCCGGGGACGGGGCTGTGGTGGGACACGGCCCCCGTGCCCCGAGGTCCCCGCCAGCCCCCGGCTGTCCCCTGCGCTGGGGGACAGGGGACACTGCCACCCCTGTGTGCCACCCCCCGTGTGCCGCTCCCCACGTGCCACATGTCACCTGCCATGTGCCACCCGTCACGTGCGCACTGCTGTGGCACTGCTGCCCCTGAGATGTGGCACAGAGGGACAGGGACGTGGCACAGTGACATGCACATGGCACAGAGTGACATGGATGTGGCACAGAGGGACAGGGACATGGCACAGAGCAGCATGGATGTGGCACAGAGTGACATGGATGTGGCACAGTGACATGGATGTGGCACAGAGTGACATAGATGTGGCACAGTGACATGGATGTGGCACAGAGGGACAGGGACATGGCACAGAGTGACAGGATGTGGCACAGAGTGACAGGGACATGGCACAGAGCAGCATGGATGTGGCACAGAGTGACATAGATGTGGCACAGTGACATGGATGTGGCACAGAGTGACATGCACATGGCACAGAGTGACGTGGATGTGGCACAGACCCATGGGGACACGGCGCAGAGCGATGGTGACATTGCACAGAGGGAGGTGACACGGCACAGAGCAACGCTGATGTGACACAGAGCGATGGGGACACAGAACAGACACTGGGATGTGGCACAGAGTGACATTAACATGGCACAGAGTGACATTAAATGGCACAGGGTGAGGGGACGTGGCACAGAGCGATGGTGGCACAGGACAGAGCAGTGCCACCAACTCCTACCAGCACATCCTGGGTGTCCCCAGGCTCCTGTCCCTCAGCCACCAGAGCACCCGGGGGTGACAGGAGGCCACCAGAGGAGCCAGTGCTTGGTGTCACCAACAGGGCCCGTGCTCGGTGTCACCAGAGGAGCCAGTGGTTGGTGTCACCTCGGGGTGCTCGGTGTCACCTCGGGGTGCTCGGTGTCACCGCAGCTGCCGGGTCTGTCTGTCCCCAGCACTGCAGGGACGTGGCCATGGCCGATCCCCGGTGACATCGGCTGGGTGGCAGTGCCCGCAGTCCGGGGTGTCCGCCTGTGTCCCGGGGCCGGTGACAGAAGCTCGAAGCTCCATGGCCGGGCAGTGGCTCGGTGGCCCCACGGCCGCTCCGTGGCTCTGCGGATGGTCACTGTCCCCGTGGCCAGTCCGTGGCGATGTCCCCAGCTTGGGGTCCTGGTGGCAGGGGTGTCCCCGAGGGCCTTTGTGGGGTCCCAGGGCAGCTCCAGGGCTGGTGCCACCTGAGGTGCCACCCCAGGGACAGCGGGAAGCAGCTCCGAGGCCACCACTGGGCAGGTGGCACCTCACCGACGTCACCTGGGCCCGGGCCGAGGTGCCACCATCACCTGCCAGCAGTGAACGTGTCCCTGCTCCAGCCCACGTCACCCCCACCCCGTGATCCTGCTCCACCCGTGTCCCTGCTCCCCTCCCGTATCCCTGTCCCCATGTCCCTGTCCCCACCCCATGTCCACATGTCCATGTCCCTGTCCCCATCCCACATCTCCATCTCTGTCCCCATCCATGTCCCTGTCCCCATCACAGTGGGTCCCTGTCCCCATCGCACATCCCCGTCCCTGTCCCTGTCCCTGTCCCTGTCCCTGTCCCTGTCCCTGTCCCCATCCCTGTCCCCCCCGCAGCCCCGACACGCCGGTGACAGGGACGGTGACACTTTGGTGGCTGCCACCCCATCGCTGTCACCCCCCGGACCAGCTGGGGGGACACGGCCAAGGCCACCGCTCCCCTGTCACCCCCAACCCTGGGGGGACATCCCTGTCACCCCCCGCTCCCGAGGGAGCCCTGTCTGGGGGGATGAAGGGGACAGAGGGGACATCCCTTGGTGGCTGTGCCAGCGGGGACCTGGGGGTGCTTCCCCCTCACCCGGGGGTCCCCCGGAGCTTGGGAGGGGCTCAGAGGGGACAGGGGGGGACGCAGAGGGTCCTTGAGCGGCGCCAGCACCCGCGGGCGACCGCGAGGGGACAGTGACGGTGGCAGTGGCCGTGAGTGGCACAGACCTTTCCAGATCTCCGAGGGCGGTTTTGGGGTCCTCTGCCGCCCCCCGGGGGGCGCGGTGTGACCCCCCCCCGTGGCAGCCGGAGCCGAGGGACCCCCGGTGCCCCCCGGGACAGAGGGGACATGGGGGGGGCAGGGAGGGGCCGCGGGGATGTCACGGGGGGGCCCCGGTGGGGGGTGGGGGGCTGTGGGTGCTGGGGGGACACCCCGGGGTCAGCCCAGGGGGGGTCTGGGGGTGACACTCGGGGGTCCTGGGCCGTGGGAGAGGGGACACGGCCGGGGGGGCGGGGCTTGGGGGGGGCAGGGGGCTCTCGTGGGAGCAGGGGGTTCGGGGTCTGGGGGGGTCTGGGGGCGTTCCGGGGGTCCCGGGGCTCTGCGAGGGGTCCCGGGGGGCTGCAGAGCGGGGCGGGGTCCGGCGGCTCCCGGGGCGCTGGGAGGGGGCTCGGGGGTCCCGGGGGGCTCTGGCGGGGCCCCCCCGTGCCGTGCTCGGGGCCGGCAGGGCGGGGGTCGCGGGATGCGGGGGGGATCCCCGAGTTGGGGGGGGTTCACTGGGGTTGGGGGGGGATCCCCGGGGTTGGGGGGGGGGGGGTTCCCCGGGTGGGGGGGGGTCCCCTCGGGCAGGGTGGGGCGGGGGGACAGGGGGATCCCGACCGCCCCGCGCCCCTCGGTCCTACCTGAGCCGCGGCCGCGCTGCGCTGGGGGCGGGGCGCGGGGGGTCCCGGGGGGGTCCCGGGGGTCCCGGGGGGTCCCGGGGGGGGTCCCGGGGGGGTCCCGGGCTCGGGGGGGCCCCGCGGCGGCCGCGCGCGCCCCGGCGGCGGCGCTTGACCCGCATTGACGTCACTGCGTCACCAGGGTTCCCCTGGAAACACGCGGGGCTAAAAATAGCCCGGGGGGCGGGGGGGGGGCGGGGGGGCGGGGCGGGGGCGGGACCCCCCACACCCCCCACCCACACCCCACCCGCGTCCGCCGCCGGTCGGGGACACGCGACAGACCCAGAGCGGCCACCCCGCACCGGGAGGGACACCGCGCGGGACACCGGGACAGCGACACGGGGACAGCGACACGGGGGGATGGACACGGGGGGATGGACACGGGGGGATGGACACCGGGACACCCTGCGGGGGACACGGGCGGGCACGGGGACAGCGACACGGGGGGACACGGGGACAGTGACACGGGGACACCGACACGGGGGGCACGGGGCGGGTAAACACGGGGGGATGGACACGGGGACAGCGACAAGAGGGGGCACCACTACTGGGGAAGGCGACAATCGGGGAACAAAGGGACACCGGGACATGGGGACACCGGGACATGGGGACACCGGGAGGCAGGGCAAGGGGACAGTGCGGACACCGGGACATGGGGACATGTGGGTGGTGGGACACCGCACGTCAGGATATGGGGACACTGGGACACCGGGACACAAGGACGTGGGGACACTGGACACCGGGAAGTGGGGACACTGGGACATGCAGACACGGGGACACCGGGACATTATGGGGACACTGGGACACGGGGACATGGGGGTAACTGGGCCACCGGGAAGTGGGGACAGTGGGACAGCCGGACACGGGGACACCGGGAAGTGGGGACATTGGGACAGCCGGACATGGGGACACCGGGAGCCTGGGAGAGGGGACAGGGACGGGTGGGGCGGGACGGGACGGGACAGCTGCAATGGGCCGTACTGGTGTGGGGCTCTACTGGGACAGGTTTATACTGGGACTGGTTTATACTGGGACTGGTTTATACTGGGACTGGTTACACCGTCCGTTCCACTGGGACGGAATTGTACTGGGATGGGTTATACTGGGATGGCCTGTGCCCGCACTGGTCCGTACTGGGATGGGCTGACCCGCATTGGTCTGTTACTGGGATGGGCTGTACTGGGATGGGCTATACTGGGATGGGCTGACCCGCACTGGTCCGTACTGGGTTATACTGGTCCGTACTGGCCCGCACTGGTCCATACTGGTCTGTACTGGTCCATACTGGCCCGTACTGGTCCTTACCGCTCCGTACTGGTCCGTACCGGCCCGTACTGGTCCATACTGGTCCATACTGGTCCGCACTGGCCGCGCTGTTCCGTGTTTGTCGTTCCGGCCGCTCCCACCAGGTGGCGCCATTTCCCTTCTGGTTCGGCTGACGGAGCCCGCCCGGAACGGAGCGGTACGGACCAGTGCGGACCAGTATGGACCAGTACGGACCGGAACGGACCAGTGCGGACCAGTACGGACCGGTACGGACCAGTATGGAGCGGTACGGAGCAGTACGGACCAGTACGAACCTGTACGGACCAGTATGGAGCGGTACGGACCAGTATGGACCAGTGCGGACCAGTATGGACCAGTACGGACCAGTATGGACCAGTACGGACCAGTACGGACCAGTACGGACCAGTATGGACCGGTACGGACCAGTGCGGACCAGTATGGACCAGTGCAGACCAATATGGGCCAGTATGGTCCCGGAACAGACCAGTGCGGACCAGTATGGACCATTATGGGTGCAGTATGGACCAGTATGTGCCCAGTACAGGCCCAGTACGGACCAGTAAGGGATCAGGTCAGACCCAGTCTGGACCCAGTACGGGCCCAGTACAGACCAGTGCGGACCAGAATGGCTCCGGTATGGGCCCAGTACGTACCAATATGGTCCTGGAATGGACCAGTGAGGACCAGCGCAGACCAGTATGGATCAGTGTGGGCTCAGTACGGACCAGTATGAGCCTGGTACAGCCCAGTACGGGCCAGTACCGCCCAGAGGCCTTCTGCACTACCCACAGCAGCCCTGCCCCCGCAGACCCCCAGAGCCTGGAGGGACCCCCGGAGATCTCCGAACCCCTTCCCAGACGGAGTCAGGAATGCCCAGGGCTCCCCAGATCCGCCCAGAGCCCCCCGGGCACATCCAGAGCCCTCCCGGACCCCCAAACACGCCCAGAGCCCCCCAGGCACACCCAGAGCCCTCCCGGACCCCCAAACACGCCCAGAGCCCCCCGGGTACATCCAGAGCCCTCCCGGACCCCCAAACACGCCCAGAGCCCCCCGGGTACACCCAGAGCCCTCCCGGACCCCCAAACCCGTCCCGAGGCCGCCCGCGCCCCGCAGCCCCGGCTGGGCTGGGCAGGTGAGGGTGGCCGGGCTGGGGACAGCGACAGGGACGTGGGGCAGGGGACAGCCCCCCGCCCTCCCCCTCCAGTTAATTACCATCGCCCGGCGTTAATTATCGATCCGGCCGCTCCATGTTAATTAGCTTCGGATTCAATTAGCGCTGCCCCCTCCAGCCCGTCCCAGCCCAGAATCGATTCCCGGCGCGGGGACAGCGGGGACAGTGCGGGGGGACACCCGCAGGGACCCCGCGGGGGGGGGGTCACCCTGGGGCCGGGGTCGGGGCACAGGGAGCGCGGGGGGCGCTCCTGGGGATGCCACCGCCCCTCCGGCCAGTTTGGGGGTCAGGGGTCGCACTGGGGAGGGGTCCCGGTTTGGGGTCCATGAGAGGGACCCAGAGCTGAAGTTCAAGGTCTGGAGCCACTGTGGGAACGAAATCTGGGGGGCGGTTGGGGGTCCAGGGTCAGGGGCTGTTTGGGGTCCCAGGGTGGGGGTTCCACAACTGGGACCCAGGTTTGGGGTCCCAGGGTTGGGGTCCAAGGGAGGGACCTGCAGGTGGGACCCCGGGTGGAGCCCCAGGATAAGGTCTGGATTTGGGGGCCCCACTCGGCTCTGGGGGGATTTGGCTGCTGTTCTTGGGGCTGTCCCCATCCCCCTGCACGCCCCCATCCAAACCCTCCCCCAGAGCCAGGACAGGGCCGGGGGTCCCGGGGCTGCACCCCCAGAGAGAACCCCCCGATCAGGGCTGGGGTCCCCAGGGCTGCACCCCCAGAGAGAGCCCCCCGATCAGGGCCGGGGGTCCCGGCCTTGCTCCGAGGACATGGGGGGAGCTGACCCGGGGGGGGGGGGGGGCTGACCCCAGCACAGAGGGAACCCCAAAATCCAGGACGCTTCACTACGTTTATTGGGCCTCTGCAGCTTTAAATACAGGCCGGGATTTGGGGGACCGGGGGGGAGGGGGGAGCCAAGGCAGGGGCGGGGGGCTGAGGGTGCCCCTCCCCCCAGAGCCGCCCCCCCGGCTGCCCCCCGGGGCTGGGACGGGCTGGGGGGGCCCGGGAGGTTTGGGGGTCCCCCCGAGCCCCCCCGGCCCCTCAGCGGCTGTAGCCGAACTCGTCCGCGTCGTCCGCGCGGAAGTCGCCGTAACGCCACAGGTTCAGCTGGGGGGGGACACGGTGTCACGGGGGCGCCCCGAAACCCGGGGGGCGGGCATGGGGGTCACCCCCCCCCGCCCCGGGGCTGCCCCCCCGGTTTGGGGTCCCCCCACTCACCCGGGCGCTCTTGGCCGCCTCCTGCGCGTTCAGGTACTCGGTGATCTGGGGGGACAGGCTGGGGTCACCCCGCGGCCCCTCCCCAAGCTGGGGGGCTCGGGGGCGTCCCCAGGGGTGGGGTGGGACCCCCCCATCCTTCTGTGGCTCCCACTGCCCGCAGGGGGATGGGGGCGGGGTGACCCCCCCAGCCCAGCCCCGAGGGGTGACCCGGGGGTCTAGGGGGGCTGGGCAGCACCAGGGGGTGGGGGGACCCCCAACCCCCTAATGGGGCAGGATTGATCAGCGCCAGCGGTGGTGGGGGGGGACAGGGATCCCCAGAACCCACCCCCCATCCCCAGCACCCCCAGCAGCCCCCAGAACACAACCCACAGCCCCCCAACAGTCTCCTCTGCCCCTCAAGCACCCACCTCAGGCCTCCCAAAAACCCACCCGACATCCCAGCACCCACCAGGAGCTCCAACCCCTCCAAACCCCCTGAGCACCCCTCAGCACCCCCAGAACAACCCCCCAGCACCCCCAGAACAACCCCCCAAGCCCTTCCCCGCCCCTCCAAGCCGCCCCTGCCCCCAGCACCCACCACTTTCTGGAACTGCCTCTCCTTGCGGGGCTCCACCATCACCAGCCCCTCCTTGACCAGCCCCAGCCCCACGTCGCTCTTGGAGTCGGCGAACTGCAGCGTGACGTGGGGACAGCCGGGGCCCAGGTGCTCCACGTTCAGCAGGCACTGCGTGTTCTGGATGTCCCTCACCACGCTGTCCACGGCGTCCGCCCGCGCCTCCTCCTGCGCCCCGCGCCCGTCAGACACCCGCGGGGACACCCCGGAGGGACACCCCACAGCCTCAGGAACCCCCCGGGGCTTCTGGGGACACCCCACACCCGCAGAGACGTCCAGGGATCCCCCCAGACCCCAGGGAGCCCCAAACCCTCAGAGATCCCCCGTGGCCTTCAAGACACCCCAGAGCCCCAAGGATCCCCCCGACCCGGGACCCCCCAGGTGTTTTGGGGACACCGACAGCCCACTGTGGGCTTGGGGCAGCCCTGGGATTGGGGTGTGGGGCGCTGGGGCCGGTGTCTTTGGGGGTTGGGGTTACCCCGGTTCAGGACTGGGGTTGGTGCTCGGGGTCAGGAGACACATTGGGGTCCCAGGGTCAATGTTCCCAACTGGGACCAAGTTTGGGGTTGGGCTCCACAGGTGGGACCTGGGGCTCAGGGCATGGGTCTGGGGGCCACGCGTGGGACACGGGGTGGAGGTTCGAGGTCAGGTGCCACCAAGGGGGCCGGGGGCCGGGGCCGAGGTGTGGGGCACAGCGGGACCCCCGTACTCACGTCCTGCGGCACCTGGATGAAGGCGAAGGTGTACTCGGTGGCCTGGGGCGGCAGCACCCGCGGCGAGAACGCCGGGGGCAGCGGGGCCAGGCGGCTGGGGGGCAGCGT